ATTCTTTAATTACTCCACAATAGTTTCTTTTTTTTCCCTCTACTTTTATCATTTTTTCTCTATTCTTCTGAATCTGGGGGAAAAAGAAAATCAGTACCTGAAACAGAACGTAATTCTGGCTAGTCACGTACGATTCTCTATCAAAAGTAAAATAGCTTTCTAGTGGTTCCGAGCAATTGAAGAGAAAGTAACGCTGTCGTTTTTCCCGCTCTAGCTGGGGATCCCGGCAGCTTCCACGCCGTGCCACCCGCCTCCACTTGCCTGAACCACCCAGAAAAGGTTGTTGGCCTCCGCCCCAGGCGCCGGCTCGGAAGCGAAGGTGCGAGCAGGGAGCCGGGGTTGCTGTGGCCCCGCAAAACTGTACCGATCCATGAACACCGTCATCGTCACCACCGCGATCGCCAGCAGCCCAGCCACCAAACGCAGCATTTTCATCCGGCTCTTCCACATCCACTCCCAGACGTGAAGCAACGGTCCCCGGTCTTCACCCGGCAACGCGCCACAGTGATCACTTCCAGCTTCCGCCCCCGGTTGCGGCTTCTGCGGCCTCCCACGCCGCTCAGGTTGTATTAGGCCCGCCCCTCCCGGTCTCTATTTGAGGACGGAATTTTCCGTCAGAGAATCCGTCCGCGAGGTCTGCCCTCCCTTCCCTGTAGCGTTATGGCAGGTTTAGGTGATCTGCTGTTGGAATTAAGATCACCTGGGAATCCCAGGCTCATCCCAGCAAGGAATGGTTTTGCATTTAGGTGTGCCATTTTGTGAAAAGTTGGGCGTAAGGTTTTGACCAGAAACTAGCAGTTGCCTGAACTGACTGGAAAAGAGTGAGAGGAAAAGAGCAAATCATGGAAATCAGTAGATTTTATATAGCTCAACACAAAGTTTAATTTTTTCCCACCTGGAAGAAAAACTACACAGACACACACACAATGACTTCTGGATACTTTCTTAATTAATTAAACTTTATGTTGAGCTATTAATTCATTTGGGATAAAGGAGCAAAATGCTGCTTGGATTTAAACACTACCTGCGTTAAGGCACTTTTAAGGGGGAGGGGACATAGTTTAATATTAGATGTGAACACAAGCATTGTGGCTTGTAAACATCGGGTAATATTTAGCACGTCAGGTGAATCAGTTACAGAAAAGAAGAAAGAGTGGCGAGAATTCAGATGGACTAGGGAGTCAGTTCAGGGACCTGTTTGCTTTTGACGTTCAATTTCTCAGTTTCATTCACAGAATTTTACCAGTGTCCAGATATTGTCTTCTGTTTATAATCATCCCATTTCTCATGAATCTGTAACTTTACTTTTTCCATAGTTTTTCTTCAAAGAGCAAAAGGCAGACTTTGACAATGTTTGTGCTGCATGCTAAACCAAAAAGCTTAACTAATGAATATGCTGTTTAGTTATACTCCTAAGAATCTAAGATGGATTCCAATAAAACTTGCCTAGGGTTGAAGACCTGGTAGAATGAAATTGTCTTTAAAAAAAACTTCTAAAAACCATTGGAGAGGAAGCTTTATGGACCTCTGGGAGTAAAAAGTTTCAAAGTGCAGGGGCCACCACAGAGAAGTCTGGTCACCTTGTCCATGTCCATTTCAAACAGAGGAAAGTCACTTAACAGATCTTCCTGGGATGGTCTTGCTGGATGGTTAAATCTGGTGAGATCTTATTAGCACTTTGAATTGGGCTTGAAATCCTACCGGTAACCCGTGGAGTGGCTTCAAGAGAGATGTTATTCTGCAGTGGTGGGATTGACCCACCAGTAATTTCACTGCCACATTCTTGATCAGTTGTAGCTTCTGGATCATCTTCCAAGGTCCCATAGTGTCCTGGCTCAGGGAAAGTCATAATTAACTCAGCAGCCAAAGCTGGGCAAACACCCACCAAGCCACACTCTCCGTCTGCCATTTAAACAGTACCCATGAGCCCAGGAGGATCCCCAGGTCATTCACCAACTCCTTTGCAGGAAGCATGATCTCATCCAGAGTAACTACTGAGACCAACATTCCTGGACATTTGCTGATGCACAGCAAATTAATCTTGGAGGAATTTAATTTGAGCTTATTTTGCACTGACCGCCCCAAGACACTGGTTTATGCTTTCTGATCTCCAGCTTGACCTGTGTGACAATATACAGCTGGGGGTACTCCTGACAACTTATCCAGCAGGTTCATGTAGATATTAAGAAGCATGGGGGAAGCACCAAGCCTGAGATATTGAGCACTGAAAGGTCTAAAGTACTGTTTCCCCATAACTACAACATTAAACATCCATTCAGATAGGAATGAGACCAACTGTAAATCACTTTCTCCAACTCCCAGCCATTGCAAATAGTTCGGTAAGATACCATGGCTGAGGGTACTGAAAGCCACCAAGAGGGGCACACTTCCCCCATCCATATCCCAACAAAGGTAATCTACTAGAGTGACCAATGATGTTATTGTCCCATGATTGGATCTTAATTGACTGGCAGGATCCATTTCTTCTAGGCCTCTCTGAAGTTGAGTCAGTACCATTTTCTTGGCAACCATCCAAAACAGGAGGTTGAAGAAAGGGCAGAAGTTATCAAAAACTGAGGGATCCTGGAAGGGCTTCTTCAAGAGCAGGTACACAACCATCTCCTTTAAAGTAAGTCACATTACTTTCTTCCTCAGAGAAGCTGCGACAATTTCACTCATCCAGCAAGCCATACCCGGATTGATTGCTCAAAGGAACCAGGAACAGCATGAGTCATGAGCACCAGGAATAGCATGCCACAGGTCAGGTGGCAGAGATCATGCTGTACAGAACCCTTTCCCTTTCTTCAGGCAGAAGTTTAAAAGCCTCACTCACCAGATTGGATTCTGTTCCACAAGCATCTAGTCGGAGGTGGCCACTTGCAAGAAACCTGCATAATTACCCAGCAAGCCTGTGGGTCTTGCTGAAGGCAGTGCTCAACAATTCAGTCATTGGGTCTGCGGCAGCCACACAGATGTGAGGGATACCTTCTGCAAGAGCCTATCTATAAATATGATAAATAAATAAAAATAAATAAATAAATAAAATCTAGCACCCTCCTGGCTCAGTGTGTTGTCCAAACCTGACATTTTGGTTTGCACAAACTAGCTTTGAAACCAAGATCTATCATAGCTTAACAGTTTGTACATTAGAAGACTTTTATGAAATATATGGGTTTATTAGCACATATTCAGTCTACAAGCAAGAACTTCAAATCTGAACATACTTCAAATACTAGAAGTGGGACAGAATAGGGATGTGGAAGTTCAAAAGAGTAATGATGGCTAAAGGGAGCTTTGAAAATTCAGTTTTATCTTGCAAATGGATTTATGCTGTGCAGCAAATTTCAAAATCGAATGAACTATCGCTTCTCTTCATGGCCAGGAAATGTGTCAGTTCTTTCCCACTTTCGAAGAAATCTGTCATTGTAACAGAAGCCATTCATAAATTTAGGACCTACCCAAGAAATTAAACCGAATTTGATGAGGTTCCCCTGACATACTAATACAAATACTCAAAATACAACACTTCTGAGGTGCTTAAAAGTACACACACCACAAATCGCAGTGCGCTGGAATCATGATGCATTTAATCGTGACCTTCTCGTGGATTGAATTTATGCAAGAAAAGTGGAAACTTTGGGCTTCCAACTTAAAACACTGCTACTCTGACAAAAATAGCGTATAATCACATCCATCCCGATCCTAAAGTGAGCAACAGTTTCTACATAGGTCGGTGGAGGGGCTTCTCACAGTGAAGTACCAATCCACCCCTACCCGTGTTCATACACGCCCTGCTCCCCATTTGCTCGAGGGGCAGCCGCCAAGGTTTTCCGGTTAGCAAGCGACGCGCGGCTCAGCAAGTGCTCTCTTGAGCATGCGCCAGAGATCTGAGCATGCTCAATGTTGCCGAGGACCCTCTTCGTGTGGGGTTTGGCGCCGGGCAGCGGGTCGGGTCTTCCAGAGCCCTGCTCTTCCCCACGCCTTCCCACGCAGCTGATTTCCGGTTGGCCTGTGGCAGGACTCAGCCTGCCGAGCGCCGCTTCTCCTAAGATGGCGGACGGAGGCGACGGCGCGGGAAGGATGGCTGGAACGGGCGGCGCTGCCCCCGTGAAGCCCTCGGAGCTGGCTGGGGTGAGATTCCGCTCCCGCCTGAGGGTTCATCCCTTGCGTTGCTCGACGGCCGCGGCGATGTGCCTTCCTAAGGGGTCCAAGCTGCTGTGCTCGGTGCAAGGACCCTAACCCAGAAATGCCTGGCCTCCGATGCTTTTACTAGTCCGAGTTGTTCACACAGTAGGGCTGCTCATTGTGTCTTGCTAGGAAGGTGGTCTTTCCCTAATTCCCGCTTTTGTTGCCTGCGATCCCCAAAAGGGTTAATCTCTGGGTTTCTGTCAAATGGGACTGGACAGCTGCGCACTAAACAGCGCCGTACGTGCATGCAGGGCAAAGCCCACTTAGTTGACAGGGAAAGAGTTAGGATTTTGAGGAGGGATTTCCTTTTTAAATATAGGAGGGTTAAAATTACCGGAGTTATATTCAGACAGATCCACTTAGAGCAATGTAAGTAGTCTTCCTGTACCCCTAAAAACGTGGAACAAACATCTTCTGAGATGTGTTTGGAACCTAGAAGAAACTAATCCTCAATTGTGCTGGAAGGAGAGATCCTTCTTTCACAGCCTGAACATGGATTTTAGTGCATTTAAAATCCATTAAGTAATATATTTATATTACTTAATGGATTTGCATTGTCCATTAAGTAATATATTTATACTGCATAATAAACCAACATAGAGTGAATTGATAGGGCCTGAAGATTATTACATAAAGTCGGGAAGGGGGGATTTGATGAAGCTAAAAGGCAAATTGTATTTTCTGTCTGAGTGGATTGGTGTGTAGGCCATAATATTTAAACATCATAATGTAAGTCTCAAAGAATGCATTGCACCTGGTACTTATATATACGTACGATAGGGTTCTTAATCATAAGTGAGCCTTATGATGTGAGCATCAGTGCCATTGTTAATCAAACTCTGGGGAAATTTTTGTTAAAAGTAATGATGTTTACCAGTTTTATATTTCTTTTGTGGGACTTGTGAAAATGGATTCATAAATAAAAACAAGGACTGGAATGGCAAAAGAAATGATAGGGACAGTATAATAGGCATGCAGTAATTGGAAAGTACTAAATGTAATAACTAGGAGCTTGAAGTAAGTAAAAACAAAGGTGGGGATATCAGAGAAAATACCTAAAATGGATCGTTGTCTTTTGAGTTATTGACAATTTTTAACAGTGGATGTTAGTTAAGTGAATAGGATTTCCAGGCTGAAAAATGGTTTCACTTTCTCTAATCAAAACAAATTACGTTTCAAAAGGTTTCTTTCACTTTGGAAAAATGGCCAGACTTCAACTGCAGTGAACTAGTGAATGCTGCGTCACAGGTTTTCATTTTCAGCTCAAAGATAGTAGCCTCATGGTGCAGCCTGAGAATTTGAGGGATTTTGTGTAAATTATAGAGAACCTGAGTAGCAATTACTGCTTAGGTGCTGTTTTGAAAGGAACTCTAGATAACAATAATATTTGCCTGCTTGTTGACATTTAATAATCAATCATCATGTCAAAGCAGCTGTGTAGCTGTGGAAAAGGAAGAGTAGACAGGTAATATGAGGAAACACACAATATTGAGGAAAGAGAAGGACAAGAACATTAATGTCTCTTGTATCTGCAGCCCATATCTGAAGGGAATAGTAAATACTGCATTGTTTAGAAGCCTGAATTTTGTTTAAATGAGATTTCTCACTGTATTTTTAAAACATATGCTCATTTCAGTATTCATGCAATATACAGTCATTTTTTTTTGGAAGTATTAATCAGTCTACCGATAAACATGGTCAGAACTTATATATGTAATTTAATCTGAACTAGCTTTATTTTGTGACTGTATGGTATGGATATTAAACTTAAAACCCAATCCCCTGATCAGCTTACCCAGATAGAAAAAACTAGAAATGGTTAAAACCCAGTTTTTAATAAGAACCACTTTGTTGAATACCATGTCAACCCTGCATTTGGTACCTCAGACATGAGTGTAACATGATAATGTTACAAAAGCAAATAAATGGGTCTCTGTTTATAGAGTTTAGCATTAATCAAACTCAACTTTAAATTTTAAACTCAAAATTTATCTTTAACTTTAGACTCAAACTACTTATAGAACAATCTGTTGTTATAGAACAACGATGTAGTGTACCCTACTCTCTGGTGATCAGTGGGGTGCCTTTTTTAGTTCACATAGAATGTGAACATCAGCAACAAATTTGTGGCATTTTGCGATAGGGCCCATGTTGAAGAACAAACTTGAATTGCAAGTTTGTCACTCCTTACTATAGGTTAGGAGCGGGCTTGAAATATATTTAGCCAGACTTTTTCATGTTACTGTGTTTTTATTTATTATATCTTTTGATGCCTCCTGATGTGTGCTAGTACACGGGGTATTCCTGTTGGCAGTTTGCAAGGAGCAATATGTTGGCCTGCAAAATACTTTCTCAGTTAGAGATCCTAACTTGCACAGAATGTCATGAGCATCTTGGAGTAAAACTGGGTTTTGGTTGAGCTTGGTTAAAAGTGCAAAAACTGTTAGGCGTATGAGCCTTTTTTACTTTACTTTCCAAGGAGTGGACATACCACAGCATAGCAAATCTGCACACAGTGCTTTATTGCAGCACATACCTTCCCCAACAATAGACTATTGCTCTCTACCCTTCTAGGACTTGCAAGGTGATGTTGCCGTATAAATGTGTCTTTAATACTGTGATGTTGCCATATAAATGTGTCTTTAATACTTAGTTCAAGCAAAAGTCTATTGGTCTGTAAAGTGGTAGACAACCTTCACCTTCTTCCAAAAGTTCTTAATGCTGGTTGGGATGTTGTCTCAGTGTGGTTGTTCTTGTAGTTGCTACCGAGCTTCCTGCAAAGCTCCAAGCAGGACTTCCACCAGGATATGCTGATCACAGTGGCTTCTGGTCTTGGCAGTTGACTAATAGTCCTCTTGCCTGCTTGTAATTGCTGATCTTCAAAGTTACCTCCACTTCCTATCTGCATGCTGTTTTCTTATCTCCTGTTTTCCTACAACCCTCTCCATACTGTCTTAATCTTTGTTTTTGTAAACAAAGGCCTGGGTGGGGTGTGGCTGCCTCTGGATGCCAGCCAGTCCTTGAAAATGCCAGGGTGTGGCTCAGTTGTTACAGATAGCTGGAGTGCCGGCTTGGATGCTTATGAGTAATGTTGTGAATGAGTGAATGAATGAATGTATGAGGGAAATGGGGTGAGAAGTGTGTCTGCCTGACTACAGCTACTCTTCTCAAGCGCAGACAACAATCCCAACTTCACTCCCTCATAAGGTGTACTGTTAGGCAGGAATGCTGCATTTGGCAGGAGTACAATAAAAGCTGATAACTTGGTCTATACCTTCTCTATTTTACTAACAAAGATGTGTACAAAAACCTTGATTGATCAAAGCCACAGTGGGTGGTGGAAGTCAATATCTATGGCCCATCTGCTGAAGACTATGATAAATGGAAGATTGCAACTTGGAATGTGAAAGGAGTAAATGGCAAACAACATGAATTAATGAATATAAAAATAAAAAGATGTGTGTCTGTGAAACTAAGAAAAAGGGGAAGGGTATAATAAATGTGAATGAAAGTGGCCCAGTCTTGTGGAGTAGAGTTGAAGAATATGTGCAGGGAAGTGACATTTAATTATGAATGAAAGGGCTAAAATATATGCTATAAACTGGTGTTAACTAAGCTGTTGTGGATGCCTATCAAAGTAGGAATCCATAGTTTGGTGATTGTTGCATGTCACCCAGTGAATAGTGGTAATGGATTTGGGGGGAAATGAATGTGATATAGAAAAAAAAAATTCTTCTAGGTGATAAGAATGGATGGGTGGGAATAAGATGAGACAGTAAAGAGAAGGTAATTGAGCCAATGGAGACCAAAGAATGAATAAGAAAGGTGACTGATTGGTGAGTATCTGCTTAGAAAAAGTCTGTTTTGAATATGTAGTTTAAGATCTGCTTATTTATAAGTATATGTAGCATAGGAATGGGTATAAGCCTGAAAGCATGTTGACATGGAAGTATGATGGATGAGAGGATCTGAATGTGGGACAGATCTTTTTTTGCAGAGCTAGGGATGGATCTTAGAAAAAAGTGAAAGAATTTAGAGTGAAAGGATGACTACAGGAAGAAAAAGTGCTAGTTCTGTGTAGAAGATAGATCAGGGGTCCCAAACTCATGAGGTGCCTGTGGCCTTCCAGGTCATTTTATGTGGCTTGCACCTCCTTCACCCAAGAAAGCAACTGTTGAAAGTAGGATAGCAGCTTGCCAGTCTCACCAGGCACTACAGAGCCTTGCTTAGGCTAAGAAGAAACAGCTTCTCTGCTGGAGAGGAAAAACAGGCAGGCAGCTTCATTGCTGGCCTGATATTAAGGCCAAGGCAAGAGCCTACTGTTCCCCATTTGCCTGCTCCCATCATCATCACTGCTGCAACTCCTTACTACAGCTTTAGACTGAGAAGAAATGGCTCAGTGCCTAGCTTTATGCTAAAGTGCTGTTGGAGCTCAGGCTGTGCAGCCATCCCTTAGCCGGCTCCATCTAGGTTCAGAGCTGTGTTTCTCACCTTAAAGCAGTGAAAAACAGCAGAGGTGGTAATGGGAGCTGGCCTGAACTGCAGTGGTACCTTGATGCAAGACTAGGAGCACAGTCATCCCTTGGCCTGTCCACCCAGGCCCAGAGATTGGTGTCTAGCCAGTGGAAAACTCCATAATTTCTAGACAAAGTTGTTCTGTGTGTGTAATGAGTGAGATGTTTTCCTTTTCTCTCTGTAAATCACCCAGTTTTTAATTTTATATCTCTGGAGAAGTGTTTGAATTGCTATTGGGCAAATTGGCAATTAAAAAGCAACTCTTAGCTACCTAAGACATTTTTTGCAACTTTTTTTAAAGTAGCCGTCAAGGAATTTACCCAGAGATCCCATTGTGGTGCATTTGATCAATGAAAACAAGGGCCTTCCTGGTTCTTTTTTTGCAACTGTAAATAACATTTTCTTTCACTATTAGCTCATGATATACAGTTCTTTATAAAATAAATATGACATTAGTCATTAACAGGATGTGGGCAGGATGATACTGCAAATATATACTAAATGTAACATTTCATAATTATTTATTAAATCAGTGCTTTTGAGTTCAATGCATAGGATTATAGCCCAACTGCTTATTCATGCGACCAAAACAATTTATTGGTAAGAAATCAAAAATTTTCTGCAAAATTATCTGAGAAAGTGTCTTGAATCTTGACAGGTAGAATGAGTGGGGCGGGGAGGCAGGATTGGATTAATTCAGAGCTCAATCCTTCCATTTTAAGGTCAGAATATAAACTTGATTTGAAACGCCAAATCTTCATGTATTCCCTTAATTACAACTTGAAAACACCATATGGCATTTTTTTTTTCTGTGTGACAGACTGTATTTATTTAATCAAATGTGAGCCTTCTTTCCATTAAAAGTAATCTAAAATTGAGCTAAATTTGCAGGAATAACAGCCTCTTCTAAGAAGGTGACTCATGCCAAATTAAAGACAAAATACGATTTTTCCCCATAAATGCCAGTATAATTTTTATTTCAAGGCAGAATTGAATAGTTATACTGTAGTATGGTTGTGTCAAGTTTCAAATGATTAGGTTCAAGGGTTTTCTGTTGTTATTCCACAACAATCAAACCAAATGATGTTCTGCTTAATAAAAAGCGCTGTCAAATGTCCAAAGTAAAAAGATAAAAAGTAACTCTACTTCACAGTAAATATCGTTTTATTTAATACATGTTTGTTTAATGGTATATTGTGGTATTATTTTCTTTATTTTTGACTCACTATACATTTTTGTATCTATGTATGGGAAGTCTTCAGTATAGCAGTTATTAGCTCTTGGACTAATAAACAAGTCCCCACATGGTCTTCATGATGATTTGAGTTTGAGACCTCTGAGTTGGATTAATTTCTCAACTGAATGAATAGAAAGTGCACATAAGGAAAGAGGATGGAGATGCTGTTTGGAACAGAGTGCCATGGAAGTTTGCATAGTTATGCTAATAGAAAGAATGAAAAAGAATGCTTGCCAGAATGATGATGTGGAAAAGGCTGTGGATGAGAAAAAGTGAATATGAATTGAAAGAAGGTATTTTATAATGCATATAGAGAAAAAAATGCAGTTGCAAAGAATGTAGTCACAAGGAAGGAACAGTTACACTTAATAGAGGCAGAGGAGTTACAGAGTGGTTTTGATATGGAAATAAAGAACTGTTTTGGAAGTTGGTAAAGAGGGCCAAATGTTGAGCAGAGTCAGTGGAATTAAAAAATAAAAGTGATGAAATGATTTCAGATGAAACTGAAGTTAGGGGATATTGGAGGAGTGCTTTAGAGATATGTATGGGAATGATAGTGATAATGTCAAAGAGTAGAATTGAAAGAAATAATATAAATGTTAGTGTAAAAAAATGATGTAGAGGAATGCATATCATAAATGTTGTATGTTGAAAATGCTAAGGCTGCAGGTGTAGATTATATAATACACATTCACACAGCCACTCCATAAGCAAGCTGCATTGACACTTTAACATTTCTCCAGTTATAATATTTAGCTGTAGAAATGTTAAAGTATACACATGGCTTCCTTATGAAGTGGCTGTGTGACTTGTTTAATTAATGTGTGAAAATGGCAACTGTGCCTGATGATTGAAAGAATGCTTTAATTGTTCCATTAGACAAAGGAAAGGCAGTAAGCTTGAATGCCGAATCTACAAGGTAGTTTGTAGGTGATAGTGAGCCAGATTCAGGAATGCAGAGCTGCTTTATGCCAGGCAAGGAATGTGCAAACAAAGCTTTGCTCTTCAGATCACGGAAAATGAATGAGGAAGTGTGAGAAAGTGCGAGAAAGAAAATTTATTGTATATTTGTTGATTTTGATAATGTGCAAGATAAAATAGGCTTGAATAATGTTTTGCGTGAATATGGAGTTGAAGGTTGGTTGATGAGTGTGAAAACAGCAGTATATGATGAAAGTAAAGTATACACCAGAATAAACAAATGGATCAACATTAAATAGGGAGTAAGACAGTGCTGTTTGATGCCCCTTTGGTTGTTTAATGTAGTTATAAATAAATGCATAAGGATGTTTGTGATGAAGTTAGAGATGTGTTGGTTGGGTATGTGAACGTGCATGTGTTTTTGTATGCAGGCAATGCCATGTAATTGGCTGAAAACCCACATGTTTTGCAGTGAATATTAGATAGATTGTATGATGAAATGGGGGAATATTGTTCTGAACATTAAGGTATTGAAATTCAAGGTAGTTTGACAGGGTAAATGGAATGAAGAATTGCAAGTTATACATAAATGGCAAAAAAACTAGAGCTAATTTCTGTGTATCTTGATGGAATGTCTACTAAAGATGATAAAATGGATGGAGAATGCAAATGCTGGTAGTGGGTGTGGGTAGCATGAAGTCTGTTACAAAGAATGAATATTTGTCCAAAGAAGCAAATTTTGCTGTGTATAAGAGCATGCTTCTGCCCATTTTGCTATATGGAAGTAAGAATTGGGTATGTCCAGGGAAATATAAAAATAAGTTGAATGCAGAAGGAATGGGGTACTTAAAAAGCATGTGTAATAAAACAAGAGATAGGGACAAGAATAAGTGAGTGCTGAATGAATATGGATTGAATACAAAAGTGAGTGACTGTTATGAAAGAAGTATGTTGAGAGAGTTTTATCATACAGAGAAAATGAATTAAGGTTGAATTGCAAAACAACTGTAGGAAGGAGGAATGAATATGTGGAGAGGAAAAGGAAGATGGAGAAAATCGTAATTGGTTGGAACTGTTAGGTGAGCAGTTTAAAGAACAAAAAACAAAAAGCAAAATATGAGGATATGCATGGAGATGCTAAACAGAAGGATGGTTTGCAAGGATAGAAAGAGGTACAGTGAATGATGTTGGGGTAAATTAGTTGTAGCTATATTTCCTTTTCTTATACCTTTAATTTATTTGGCTTATTATTTCTTAATTTTTCTCTGCTGTGCATATTGTTGCTTATATGGACAGCATATAACATAATGGTTATGTATGCATGTTAATAATTTTATGATTTACAAGTATAGTTATAATTACTGCAAACACAGATTATTTGAAGTCTTAATATCAAAGGAGCAGTTTATTGGATGCCTTTTTCTGACAAGTGAGGGTGTTTACAATGTTGTTAGTTCATAGAAAGAAACACATTTGTGATTTTATAAGTTCATTAGAACCAACAGGTGGAATAGTTCAGTTTGCCAAATGTCAAATTAGATCTTGTGAAGACAGTCTTCATTTTAGTTTCTTAACCAGAAAAAGTCTCAGGAATCATTGAGTTATACCAAATGAAATGTATCAGTTCAGTGATTTTAATTAAACAAATCAGTTCAGTGATTTTAATTAAACAAATTTTAACAAAAGCAAGCAAAGGTTAGAAATTCAATACTGTTCTTTACTGAGAATGAAATCAATACCACGGACATAGGAAAGTTTGCTTTATGAACGAGACAGGAAACCTTTTGGTGGCCAAAAGTTATACACAACATTTTTGGAAGAAAGTGAGACCACCTCACATGTGTGGGTTAGAGTACATTTAGAGGAGAAATTTGGTATAATTTGGTATATTTTCTCTCTTTTACTATGATATGACTCCCTTTTAGATTTCAGAAAAAAACTGAAGACCTGGTTTTG